CATAATTCATAATTAAAAGCAAATTTTTATATCACATTACTATACTGTTAAAGATCACCAATAATAGTAATCACTAATATTTAGTAAGCTCTAGCTCTACGCTGATACAATTCTAAAAGCTCTTTGAAGATGTTCCCACTTCAGCTGTTCCCACCAGCAGGTCTACGCAAAACCTGTGGCCACTCCCATTCTAGATGATAGGCCATGTGGCCTGTCTGTCATAGTTGGGTGGGATGTGATCTCTAGAAACTGACTCTAGAACCCATGCCCTTAAAAGCTAAAGAAATGTTACACTCACAGCCACACCATCTGGACTTGGCTTGCTCAGTGTGCAATCCTGGCATTGGACACTTTAGCAATGCGTCTAATTTTGAAATGGCTCTTATGCAAGGTCCATCTCAGACTGGGGTTCTAGCTCAGTAGTTAATTGCTTAGCATATGCAAGGTTTGATTCACCCGACTAGTTCCATACTTTGTGAAGCTCAAAAAATCTTAAGCTGCATGTTGATGCCCTGAAAGTTTGAAGATGACGTACCTTTGGGAAGTTTTCATGTAGCAAATATAAAGTACCAAACAATTAACAGAGAGGCAACACAAGAGTCTGAGCAGCATGTATCTATCTCAGTCATCACATTAACCTGATGCCACCAAGGGAACTATACATATGACAGAATTCTAAGCAGATCCAAAGTCCTTTCAAAGACCAAAACGATGCTAGCCTTTGTATTAGTGCCAGGGTCACAGCACACGAATTTTCCCAAAGGCCCGTGAAAACCCAGTGATGTCCCAGATATGTTTCTTTTTCTAACAGCCCCTTGTTTTCTCAAAGGACAAACTACATAGGAGGAAAGGGCAGCACCATATTGTACACATGACTGATCGAGCAAAAATGTCACTGAAAAGCTGGAGGGGACAATTCAGAAAGAAAAGGAAAATACAGTGTAGTCAATTTCTGGGTTAGGCAATGCATCTTATTTTATAAATAGCACTCTAACTCAGAAAGGATGCCTTCAGTACATATGAGTCTGTTCTACTTTTCTAGACTCCCCAAACAGGAGCTTGAAATCCAAAGACAATAGTGTCTCAACTTAGTCATAAAACATACCCCACTGTGATGCCTGTCTACCTAACACATTGGAGACAAACAGGCAATGCACACTTTTAATATGGGAGTTATGGCACTGTATGTGGGTATCTTAAAAATATTCATTCTCATTTTTAATTTTCTTTCAACAGGAAGTATTCATATTTTTCATAATCATCTGAATAAACATACCATGTAAACATACAGCAAACACTAATTTTACCATTACAAGAGAAACATGGTTTTAAATTTAAGCTGATCATGATGGTTTTGAACACTACCAATATTGATTCATTTGAAAGATGAAATCAAAAGAAACACTGATGTTGAAAAATCACATTTATTTCACTCACTGATGCCTGCCCTGTTCACTGTGGGAAACTCTGGAGTGCAATGAGAAAGGAAGGGCTTTCGTTTCAGTCCGTCCTCAACTAGATGAGGCAACTCCTCAAGAGCCGTTTCCAAAATTACTAGTATTACTGTTTTTTGAGAAATTATAGCACACCAAAACAAGTAGGTGCTTACTTACCTTTTGGAAGGAAAGCACAAGTTTGGCTTACAGTACATTTTTTTTTTTTTTTTAAGTAAGCTCTTTAAAAAAAAGAAAAAGAAAAAGAAAACCTACAATTTTGAATAACAGTCAACATATTCTTTTGAGTCTGATTTTAAATGTCTTTACTAAGCAACTCATCCCACCAAATTCACCCTTAGTCTAAGTTTAAGGGTCTCTAAAACTGACTGTGGAAAGTAAAAACTGGAGCCATCTTCTCAGCAGGTCAGAAAACGCTAATCCAGTTCATATCACATGCCAAGCACTGTATTGGGCCCAGTAAAGAAACCCAGTGGGGAGTCAGGACATGGAGCAAATGTGCATGTAAGCCTCAGAGCAGAGGGGCCCCAACCTGTCCTTCTGGAAAAGGAATGAAAAACGTATTTTATGAGACACAAATAGGGTAAAGTGCTTAAACTTGGCCCTCTCCACAGGTCCTTTCTTACTGATATGAGCACTCAAAATACGAAGGAGCCAAGTATCTAAATATTCATCCATGAGGAAACTGCTGAATCACTGAACTTGTACCTGGTGGCACAGCTGGGGAGATGGCTTGGTGGGCAAGTGCTTCTTTTAGCAAGCTTGAGGACTGAATTCAGATCCCCAGAACCCATGGAAGAAGCTGGCCATGATGGTATACACCTGTAATGTCAGCACTGGAGGTGAAGGAAAGGTAGATTCCTGGAGTTCCCTAGCCAGCTAGTCTAGCCAACAGGTGAGGGCCAGGTTCAGCAAGAGACTTGTTTCAAAAGGATAATATGGTGAGGGTTGGCGAGATGGCTCAGCAAGTAGATACCTGCCACCAAGTCTGATGACCCAAGTCCAATCCCCAAAACACACATGGCAGGAGAGAACTGTTATCTCCACCCATGTGCCATGTCACATGTGTACCTACACACATACGCAGAATAATAATAAACAAAACTTTTATTTAAAAAAATAGAAAGCAATGGAAGAAGACACCTGACATAAACTCTGGTTTTCACGCATAATTCACAGGCTTGTACATGTATACACACACACACACACACACAAATATAACAAAAAGAATTAAGAGGGGCTAGAGAGATGGTTAAGAGCATTGGCTGCTCTTGTAGAGGACCCAGGCTTGATTCCCAGTACCCAAGTGGCAACTAACAACCATCTGTAACTTCAGTTCCAGGGGATCCAATGGCTTCTTCTGGCCTCTGAGGACATCACAAGCACAGGTGCACTTACATACATACATGGAGGTAAAACACTCATACACATAAAAAAAATTAAAATGATAAAAAGTTTTTAAAAATAGAGTTCTAGAACTTTAGGTACTGTGAACATTACTGCAATAAACATTGATGCTCAATTTTTTTTGAAACAGGGTTTCCCTGTAGCCCCTGCTGGCCTGGAACACATAATGTAGACCAGGCTGGCCTCGAACTCACAGAGATCCACCTGCCTCTGCCTCTCAAGTGCTGGGACTACAGACATGCGCCACCACGCTCAAATTTTTAAAATTACAGAAAAAAAGAAAAATCACTGAACTATAAAAATGGGCTGGATGTTCAAACTATATCCCTCCCTCCCTCCCTCATTTTGCTATGCTGGGGACCAAACCCAGCACTCTATCACTGAGTTACATTCCCAGCCCTCATACAAAATAATATTCTTAAGTGGAAAAAGAAAAGCATTAAAATTCTAACGAGTGATTTTTTTTGTTGTTTAAATGTTTCACTTTGAACTTGAAAACAAAAATTTAAGGAAGACAAAATGATGGACCCTTATAATAATTATTAGTTAATAGGTATTTCTGTGGGTTTTTCAATCTCTACCACAATTATTTTAGAGACTATCTGCCCACAACATTACTTATATTAGTGTATATGGTTATCTCTTGGTATCTGCAGGGAAATTGTTTCCAGGAACCTGATGGGAATCAAAACTGGAAGCTGCATGTAACTTACAGACATCTTCCTATATATTTGAAATGTTTAGGTTACTTAACACCTCACAATACAACATACAGCTATGCAATAGTTGTTACACTATTTTGTTTAGAGAATGACAAAGAAGTCAAGGCATATTCAGTACAGTTGTCACTTTTCCCCAAATATTTTTAGTCACAGCTGACTGAACCCAGAGCTGTGGAAACAGTTTTATACAGAGCCATCTGTATTATATGCTACTATATGCATTAGTACATACTTCTAAAAGGTAAGATCTCTAAAAATATTATCACAAAGTTTTGATAAATTTTTAAAAATTAATAAAAATGTTATGTTTTCTGGAAAGAAACAACCATTCTGAAAGGTCATTGAGTGTTGAGAAAGGGAGCCAGAGCGAGGGGCACAGAGGGTCCCCGCTGCAGTTACACCTTCCAGTTTACTGAAAATTCAATCCCAACAGAACACATGCCTGCAATACAACAGAAAAGCAGCCAGGACAGGAAGACAGCGAGGATCTGGGAGACTCTGAAAATGGGTGAAATCTGGCTGGAAGACGCTCAAGGACAGAACATTCGGACACTAGCAGGTAACGATGTCCACAGTACAGGACATGAATTCTCTAAGTGGGTAAAAGGTAACGGAGGGCTGTGGGTACAATGACATCATTAAACATAATAATGACTGTTGGATTTGTTATATTTGTCAGCTCTGATACCTACACGTCTAGTTGTTAGGCCACACGTGTGGGTGTTATTTACACTGAATTCATTCATAATAAAGTGTTCTAGATCTTTCGATTTTCTGATTGGTAGGTGGGAACAATGAGAAAAAGAGATGGAGAAGTGGCTGACTTTCAGAACTCTTTTCACTTCACAATATACCCCTCCTGACAGAGAGCTGCAAATACAGAAATACTACTGGAAGACCAGTCTCACCAACACCAGTTAAAATATTAATCTTCTAAACACATCTTAGAATATCATTTCCTCACTTTCAAATATCACTTGAAAAGGCTAATAGAACATTCCCCAGTAAAGGTCAAAAGAAAAATGCCTGTAAGGATCTGACCTCTAATGTTTCAGATTTTAAGTTTTTTTATAAGCTTGAGAATAAGTAAGTTCTCAGAAGTTTGAAATAATTGGTTCTCTTGATTGGGTGATAGCCTGCCCTTGGTAACTATTTTTCCTTTATAATTTTATTTAATGAAATTTGGTATTTCTATACAGTATCTATAGTTCCCCTAAGCACTATCAGTGCAATTTTTATACCAAAGACATTTTACCCTACTTAAGACCGAGGACTATTTCTTTTATGAAAAATGTGTTCCAATTTTACCCTCAGGTTACTCTGGCTGTAGATGACAATTTCAGTCAGTATAGAGATTTACTCCACTGCTAGCTGAAAGCACCAATGGAAAAGTAAGGCTGCACCATTCCCAGGGTACCTGTCTCATCCGGGGAGCTTGGGGAGGCACTGTCTTGGGACAGTGTGGTCCAGCTGGATTCCTCATCACTCGGTGCCAGGTTCTGGATCCGGTGGAGTGCACAGTCGGTTTTGGCCCCTGTTTTAGGATGGTCCTTCTTGGTCTCTGGGCTGGATGACACTGTGGCTACTTGGCCATCCTCTGGGCTAGACTGGGGTTTGTTTGGTTTCTGCAGCGGCAAGTCACCATTCCCAATGATGGCAGAGGCTTGGACTGGGCCTGGCTGGGCTTTCTCCTCCCCAATCCCATGGCAGCCACCCAGGTTCTGCTCTAGTTCTCTTGCTGAGGTTTCCAGGTCTGCATAGTAATTGAGGAAGCTCTTAGTTCTCCTGGGCTGGGAGGGCAAAATCTCACAGCTAGAGGACTCCTGTGGGTGTGGCTCTTTACCCTCCAACTTCTCAGAAGTTATGTTGATGACTGCTGTGGGGCTAATGTTTTTGTTGGGGTCCTGCTGCCCCTGCTCTGCAGCCTTCCGAAGCTGGTTCTCCCCATTTTTCACTAGCTTGATGTTGGCAGAGCCATTTCCCAGCAGGGGCTGAGCGGCTGGATCTGAAAGACCCATGGCCGCCTGGATATTAGTCAGTGCATATTTTTTCCTGCATTTGGGTGGTGTGCTGTTCTTGGCATCTGAGTGTTTTATTTCAGCATTCAGCAGTTCATTGTGGGAGGAACGGAGATTAAGGGTATTTGGTGGTGTGGCTGGACTGTTCCGATTTGCTACGTCTGTGGTTCCGCTGCTGGCCATAAACACTGCCAAGGTGTCAGCACCTGAGTCAGCTGAGGGGAACAAAAGGAAAACTGGTTGTGAGGCACTGGTCATGATCAAACAACTCTGTATACAGTGTGAGAAGACACTTCCACATAGAACATTGCAAGAACAAACGCTGCTGTGGAATGAGACCTTCTTATAGAACTGACCCATTTTCCTCTTCATTTCTGTTATTTATATGTTAAACAAGAGCAAACAAAGGCTTCATTGTGGATATCCAAAAGCTAATTTACACAAAAGAAACCAGAAGGTCTACATTTTACCCAGCATAAAAAAATTCTGTTTGAATTCATATAAGAGCATTTTTTTCTGGTGACTGTTTTTTATTCTTCACAACTTCGAAAAGCATCCTCTTTCCAAACATGAACAACAGGTTTTTAATCTGTAGTTCCTTTTGCAAAAATCAACAACAAAACTGTTCAACACTCCTCTAGAATTTTATTCTTTTTAGAATCTTTTTATTTATGTTTATGTGTATGAATGTTTTGCCTCTGAGTGTGCTATGTGTGTGCAATACCTGAAGAGGCCAGAAGAGGGCACTGCACTCCCAGGAACTGGAGTTACCAATGGTTAACTGTCCTGTGGGTGCTGAGAATCAAACTTGGGTCCTCTGGAAGAGCAGCCAGTGCTCTTAACCACTGAGCCATCTCTCCAGGCCCTCTAGAACTTCATCTTAATCAGCCTGAAAGGTCACTGTTCAAAGATGTTCCATGCGTCCAAAGTAATTTCTCTCAGTCACATTTCAAGGCTGTGTTCTGAAAACCTGGAAAACCAAACCTCCACTAGAGTTTGCTAATGTATTACAAGTATTTGTGACCTGAGCTTAGCATTGATACTCAAAAGAATTGTTTTTGATTAAATATCTTAATTTCTCAAGAACATGCACTATTACACATGCACACATGCATATGCACACAAGCAAAATTATTATTAATGAGGCACTGAGCCCTGAGCTACAGATAGCATATGAGAACCCCCAAAGGAATCCGAATATATTCCACGGAATTAAGACAGTCTCATCTGTTCACAGCTATCATGTGCCCTTGCCAAAGATGCCTAGGAAACTACCTGACAGTTGCATTTATCTCATACACTATTTGCACCCTCAGTGATTTATTCCATATGTCTCCTGCAGGGAAGAAAGGCAGGCTTCACAAGCTGGAAGTGAATGAAATTCATCAGCAAGAATTCCTAAGATTCAGAGTTCTCAGTCTGGGAGCAATTGCTTCTTATCTGATTCTCTGTTCTCCTCAGACCTGTGATCTCCACAGCTGCAGTAGGGGGGACCCAGGGCAGCTCTTCACATTCCTGAAATTGTATTCTGGCAAATTCCTCCTCCTCTTCTGCCAGGCAAAATGGAACCTTCACAGATAAGGACAAGAGTTCCTCCCCTGGTGGAGAGTTTAGGGGCATTGCCTATCATCCAATGCTCAAGCTTGGCTATTTTAGAGAGTCACTCACAGGTTACAGAATCCTCTGTTTCCAAGAAGCCCCAGGCAGTGTCCATTCACTGCAGGCAGGCAGCTCACAGATAGTTAAGGGCTATAACCCCAAGTGGATGTTAGACTTAGTCTCCTTCAAAGTTTATAGAGATCCCTGCTTACCCAGCATGCTATCTCAACTGTGGTGCTTGTTTTAAAGAAATAAATCTTTTAAAAAGGTGTGTTTCTTCCTTTTAAACAATACTCTAGAAATGAATTCTTAATTGTTTTTAATGACTGGCTACTACTACTATAATTTTATGAAAAGCATGTTTCAATATATAATTGAGCCTCCTTCAAAAATAGCATTTGATATGAGCAAGGCCCAACTTGAACCCACAAGTGGTTTGCTATGATATACATCCATAGCACAGATACATAAAGGAAAGTTATTTAGGTATTTAGAGCCATCTAAGAGAAAGTATAAATTAGCTAGCTTCTCAAAAGTCATCACAAAAATTTCTTTGAGGCTATTTGATGGTATTAGGTGCTGTATTCTAGTAATGTTATTAGGAAGACAAATTGTATCCCTGTATTATAACCATAAACATCATAAACATTTCTAGAAACAATAGCATCAGAATTTCTAGGTAACTTTAATATTTAGGTAGCTTGGAATGGGGATACAGTGCAGTGATAGAGCACTTACCTACCTCTAGGTTCAGAATAGGACTATCTAATACAAACTAGAGTATTAGTTTGTATTAGCTCTGTTGATGGTGTTTTTATGCATCAAAAGATGAATACAATATGATTTAGATACTAAATAGTGGTATCAGGTGTTATCAGAGAGCTGGAAAATCACCTTGTTTTTGACTGGGCCTAAGGTTAGGGATGTCTCCCCTAGGGCACCTTCTCAGACAAAGAATGAAACTGGAGACCAGAAGAAAGATCAAGGACACTTTTAATGAAACTAGAGTTCAAGGAATGGATAGTAAGCCTTATAAGAACAGGCAAGGTAGGAAAACTAGGAAACAAAACAAAAACACAGCATGTGAGGCTTATAATGACCTGAGCTTTAAGTCAGAAACTGAGCTTTTCACCTCTCTGACCCAATCAAGGAAGACATAGTCATATTTTATTACTAATGGTTTAACTATACAGTCAGTTAAAAGCTCCAAATTCAGGCTGGGTGTTTGAGACAGGAGATAGCTAATTGTATTCATGACCTCTGGTTCACCCTTTAGCATCTGTCAGCTTTGAACCAGGAAGAAACAGCTAATTTTATTTACTGTTATTAGTTTACCCTTTAGCTTTGTGGCCAGTTTAAAGCCTTGAGCTGTTCTCTGGTTCATTCTTTAAGAAGTGACAAGCAGTTTGAGGATTGCTTGCTGAAATGTCAGTATTCAAAAGTTTGAAGCTGTCTCTAAGAATCTGCCTTCTCTGCCAATTCCTCAACTGCCTGCTTACTCCAACACATCCACATGCAAAATAAAAGGTTCAGCCTTAGAGTGCAGCAGCTAAGCGAATCCCTAAGGTGTACAGCTGCCTCCTGGAGCTCCTGCATCAGCTAGGAAGTCATCCGGGCGCAAAAGAATCATGAAGTAGCTTGATGTTCAAGGCTGCAGGAAGGAGGTGTTCAACATGAGAGGTAATGAAGGCTATGGGCACAGAACCCCGGGTCAGAGGCAGAGGCGAAAGACCTGCTCCAGCTTCTTGCAAGCCGTAGAGCCTAGGACTACTCCAGTTTCCTTTACTGAAAAATGGACCCTGGCTGATTTGAGAATTTGAATGAGGAATGTCTAAAGAGAGCTTAGCACAGCAACAAGAAATGTGAGCTTCCGTCATGTCTACTTACCCTAGTGACACAAGCACAGGGTTAGGGCTACCTTGTCAAGGCCCCTAGCTACTGAGTGGCAGAAATACTCTTATTGCAGATACACAAAGGGCCAGAAGATGAGGAAGGGATAGTTGGGTCTATGAGGGTTTCGTTATGGATGGATGTTCCGAAAGTTTACCATTGGAGGTTTGTATTTAAATGAAAGAAAATCTCACAGTGCCTCGTTAAGCCTATTTAGCTGTTTTCTTTAGAATGAAAAAGCCTAAGAATAAGACCCAACTCTGACACAGCAGACAAGTCACTTAAACTTGCCATCTCCTGGCTTTAACATGCAGATAATAGCAGGGTTACTGTGCTGAGCTGAAGCCTAAAAGAGACAACTGTCAAATGTGTAGCCTAATGGCTGTCATATTATAATATGAGCTCTGAACACATCAGGTATAATTGTTCACACCGCTCCCTCTTTCGCTGTCGACTTTTGTTTCTATGAAAGACAAACACACAAAGAAATCAGAAATCAACTAGGGTGGTAAGCCACAGGTAAGAGGAGGGAGTGGTCCACTCTCCTTGGAGCACAGATGATCTAAAGGAAAGGGAGGATGGACTACCTTCCGTCTGGGAGTCTCCAGAATCAGGACATGAAAGGGGAGCACAACTGGAAGGGACAGAGCTGGATGAAGGCTTCTGCTGCAAGATTGTACTTGACCCCAAGGCAGCAGCATAAGAATGAATGGGGCTGAAGTAAGTGTGTGAGTGTGTGCGTGTGGATGTGAGTGTGCGTGTGGTGTACTTGTGTGTATATGTTGGGTATCCTCCTCCAGCAAGATCCAGGAACAAGAAGACTGTGATGAAAAGGCATTAAAGAAGCTACGTAAGCCAGGCAGTTAAAACATCAGTGATCATCAGGGAAACAATGGGATGAGATAGACACTGGTGTCTTCCTCACAACCCACAAGGTGGCTAGCCCCGTCTTCATTCCTCCTGTCTGGCATCTGAATGGATTCTGTCACTGACCAAAAAAAAAGAAAGAAAGCAAGACCCAGGCATCACAACCAGTTAGGAGACTGCTGCAACAAGACTGTTAAAATGGAAGGAGGGGACAACGGGCTTGAGAGACTTGGTTGTGGGGAAAAGTTCCAGCTCTTATCAGTCACCTCTTGACCAGGCCATAACAGTGTGGTATGTTCTCTTTAACCACTTGGATTTAGAGGCAAAGATTAAGAAGAATCTGGTTAGCTGAACAAATAGGACACTGACCACTTCCATTATCAGTTCCAGAACAATGGCAGAAGTGGACAGAGAGCGACCTGTGAGAATGTCACTAAGAACCAAGTGGGGAAGACAGCAGCTAGAGGATGGGGTTCTAGGAGGCAATGAGAATTGTCGTGGGGTTTTATTGTTTGAGAGGCTACAAACCAGAAGTCAGTGGAGGAGGAGTAAGGGGCAACACAGAAGAGCAACTGATGATGAATGAGGTCTAGTCCAGGTGATGAGAGACAAGGGCCACAGCAGATGGGAACAGAGGGCCTTGCCCAAGGTGAGGGATGTATCTGAACATGAGAAGGAGAGACTAGACTAAGGACAGATACCTACTTCAACTACAATGACACAAAACTGAGGAAAAGCCACACTGACAGCATTCATTTTCTCTATGCTGAAAAAGGCTTCACGGGGAATCACCCCAAGTATGGCCCAGCAGGGAATATTTAGACACAGCCATAGAAACGGAGGTGGCCAGGGGCAGACT